GATCACTGAGCCCCAAAGGGCATCATATTCGACGTGCTCAACCATCAGTTCTTCGTTGGCGAGGATGAGATCTAGCAGAGATAGTCGGTTGTTGGTTCGGAATCTGGTTGGCTTGCGTGAATGGTTGTACAGCGGGACCGTGTGAAGAAACTCAATGAGGCTTGACGCAAAGAAGCCAGTCGTCGGAACGGAGTGAAATAGACCGGGTAGATTGAAATCTCCCATGGTAAAGTGTGTGTATCTGAGAGGTAGAATGGAGTGCAAGAGTTTTGCGTCGTTGTCGGAGGAGTTGTTAGGGTGGCGATAGATGATACCAAGACAAGTGTTTGGCAGTTAGTACATCGCACCACATGGTATCAGGAGGCTGCAAAACAGAATCTGCCACGATGGTGCAACCGAGGGAGGTGCCGTAGTACAGTGCGACACCACCACCTGGGGCTGCACGATCGGAGCGGAGAACGGACATGTGAGAAAGTTGGATTTCACTGTCAGTGATGTCTCTGGACTGCCATGTTTCCGCCATGGCTATTAGGTCCGCTGGCGTTGACAAAAGTCGAGACTGAAGTTCCGGAGGTTTGCGTAGGAGGCCCTGTGCATTCGTGTAAATGCAAGCAATATATATACCTTCACCACACGTTGCCCTAACCGTATCTAAATTGTCCATTACCGAACCAACTGCCCCACTGCCTGGAGTCACCAGCTCCCCTACACACCCCTACCGCCAGCCCCAACGAATCTCCCGTATCTATCCACCCCAGCTCCGATGATCCACACCCTGCATCCCCAAGTCCCAGCAGTCTTAACGGCTCCATTACTCCAAGAAAACAAAAATACAAGGCTCATGCGAACGTGCTTTGTAGCTCTAGCTTTAACTCTAGCGGAGTTGTTCACCCATTTCTTCTCGCATGGTGAGGTCCCTAACGATTGGAAATGCGGTATACTTACGTCAATCTACAAAGGCGGCACGCGTGGGGATCCCGTCAAATAACGACCGATAACACTGCTCTCGACGACTTCCAAAGTGAATGAATCGATCATCGCCGATGCTTTAATGGACCACCTTGAGGTTCAGAAACTGCTCTCTGACAGCAACGGTCATGCCTGAATAACCTGCTACTCGCACGGGATCGCTGGACGACTGCGGTTAACACCGGCCTGGAAATGCAAGTCATCTTAGATTTCTCCAAGGCTTTCGACAAAGTCGATCATGCCATCCTAATGTATAAGCTGTTCTACGGTATAACTGGGGCCATAGTGGACTGGATCCGGAACTATCTCCACCGCCTTACCGTACAAGTACACGTTGATAAGGCGCTGTCCTCCCGTATCCCTGTGACAAGCTGAGTTCCACAGAGGTCTGTTCTTGGATCGGAATTCTTCCTATCCTTCATCAGTGATATCACAAGTCGAGTCCTCAGTGCTGCTCTATGCCGACGACGCGGAGCTGTGGCGCACAATCAATGCTCCAGTTGATACCCGCGCTCTTCATAGAGATCTTAACCGTCTGCACCAGTGATCCCTAGAAAACAACCGTTTAACTCTGCGAAATGTCGCATCCTCTCCACCCTCCCTTCCGCCTCTTCAATATACTTCCTGGGAGAGTCTGGTCTCCAGGTCTCATCAGGTGAAAGTGATTAGGGCATCATCATCTTTCAATATCTGCTTCCTGCCGAAAAGCAGCCTCTGCTGCTAACCGCACGCTAGGACTGTTAAAACGTGCCTTCGACCAAATCGACCCGCGGAATTTCCGTCTCCTAAACTCCTTCCTACGTCCTCATTTGGAGTTTGCTATCCAGGCTTAGTGCCACCGGTTGCTCAAAGACCAACGTATGCTTGAAGCCCCACAACGTCGGGCGACAACATTAGCACGGAGTCTCAGATACTTGGATCATCCACAACTGCTCCGTCGCTTTGGTCTCTTTTACGTGAAATACCGACGGCCTCGGGATGAGTTGATCCTCGTATCTTCTATCCTAGCTAACTCGGACATTACTGCTGCCACTTATTGATACTGCACCACTCTTACTCCCATCTTCGTGGTCACGCACTCCGGCTCACACATTAGCACAGCCGGGTGAACTGCAGGCGACATTTCTTCGCTCTGCGAGTCTGCCGACCATAGAGCGCCTTGCCTGCCGACGTAATCGCGGCACCTTCTGTAGTTGATTTCAAGATTCGCCTGCACCGTCATCTTGCCGACCTGCATCGTGACCTCCCCTGAGATAATTACCTGCAGTTTGGAATACCATACCCTAATCATCTCTCTACCGCTTCTCATCAGGCGCAACAGCTTGTTCCTCTACCCCCAACGCTCTCGATTTACTTATTTATGGAGACTTTTTGTCCTTAATGCTACTTTTCTGCTTTCCCTAGCTGTATCAGAGGGCGTAGTGGGGTGTCACGCTTCGAGCCGGTATACATTCTGTTCAAATGATACATAGGCCCGATGAAGATACGACTAATACGCGAATTCAACCCGGTATAAGATTGCTTGGCCTTTCCATACGGCCCGACTCTATTTCTTTACACTTTATGCGCCATGTAAAGCTCGTTTTTCCCATGAAATACAATGTTCCAATGTCCCTGTAAGCAACTTAGCCATTCCACTATTTGCATATAAACAGTTCACGAAAATATGAGAAATAGATGAATTCAGACTATCCTGCTCCTTCTTGCCATTTTGAAATGTGTGAAAGTCTCGTATGATATCTTTCTCCTTTCTGTGGACACTACGTTTTGTAATCCACTGCCGTCGACCGGTGATCGAGTGGCCTGCGCAACTAGTTTGCAACCAAAAGGTCATCGGTTCGAATCCGCGTATGTGCGGACGTCCTCGCGGTATACTCAGTCCATGCGCGACTTGTGGTGGTCGCGCGACAGCGAAGCGCTGTTACGGTGTACAGCTGACACTATTATTATTATTTATTTTTTATCATCTACTGCCAAGGAATACGTCGCAATTTCTGGCACACTGCTGTAAGCTTCTTGTGTTTGAGTATCCCGCAATCTTTGAATCTTGATGGTGCATAGATATTATTACGATCTGCTATGATGTAGCCCATCGAAGAGATCGCTCCAACATCCAGATGTAAACCTTTCTCCAAAACCCCCCTGGATTAACCAAGAAGTAAGATGCCTGGTAAAAAGAGGGTGGAGATTATGGGGCTGATTCAAGGCTGCACGACTGGTATCAAGCTAATCGGAATACAAATTTACCAAGGATTTATGCATCTCGGAAAAGCGTGAGAAACTATTAAAACTCAACGTAAATGGCTTTGGAATCTCAGACTTGTTCTAAAAACTTTTCTCACACTTGACAAAGAACGCTAATGCTGGCAGTGGTATCTGAGGTAATTCGACCTTTTTCCAGTTCGTATGACTATCCGACTCTGGACTATGGCTTATCACGTATCCATCCTTTTTGATGCCCTCTGGTGGAGAGGATACACAGGCGTGCTTCGAACTCTAGCTAAGGTTTCACGATCTCTCACACCTTTCGATTTCTGCAGCCGAATTGTTCCACATGGAGTTTCGCCGTTGTCGTAGTGATCTTGTCTACTCTGGACGCATTCTAAAAGGGGAGATCGAAAATGAGCCATAACATTATTTCCGGCTTAATGCCTATCGATCGGCACGAGGTTGCAAATGGAAGTGGTTCAAACCAAGAAGATTCGACGTCCACTCATCTGCTACGTTATCCACCCAAGTGGCGACTGATTGGAACAGCCTCGCGGAGGAAACTGTCGGCACGCCGTCGGAGAACTGTTTTAAGTGGTTTTTGTACAACTATTTGATGGAAGCGCCTGCATCTTGTCGCTTCTGCTGCAACTGCGACGAGATTCTGAGAAGCGTCGTCTTTCGGTGACACGCATCAAGTCCATAATGAATCAGAATCGACAGAGCTGTCAAAGATTTCCCATCTGCTCCCTACTATGGGCTCCCGCGTTAATGCAGGCGCCTCCAAAGGGGTCTAGGCGAAAATTGGTTGCATCTGTTGCTGAAATTACTGCAACACAAGCGGATGTTATGATCAGCAATCCACTGTCAAGTGATATTCTAAGTACTTGGCGTTTCTACTGTATATTGCTCCTACTCTTGCCATCCTCCTTTCTCAGAATAGGGGCGATCAATCAGACGTCGAAGCGCCAAAACCCTGGTTTGCTTGCTGGCATACGAAACGACACTCGTTAGACCAAGGTCTGTATTGTTTCGAGAGACTTCATCTGACCTGAGTAGGCGAATCTCGCCTTGAGGAGCTTCAACAGAACATTTAGCCCCCGGATATTCCGAGGAGACTCCTGTTTGATTCGTTTTTGAAGTATCTGCGTGATTCAGTCGTTAAACTACCGGTTGTTATTTTCGCCTCTTCTGTTTTCCTCTTGATTGTAACGGTGTACAGAAGTCCCGGAAATACTTCCAAATATTGGGGTCATTTTAAAGCACTCATTGCGCAATCATAACCTAAACTCCAAATCACTTTGAAGTGAACCTCAAGACAGCATCAGAAACAGATGAACATAGAACGCACTAGGATTTTTTGTCTGACTAACTTGCTGGTAGCTCGTGAAAGCCGGATTGCTACGGTAGATAGTGGTCACATATCACAAATTTCATGCAGCTCATTCCCTCCAAGAGGTTGAGGATGGTATTCGCCATCTTAAAGGATGGGGCTTCGGAGTATGCCACTTGACGTAGCGTAGCCGCGAACTCAATGACGCATTCGTTCTGATTGTAAACTTTGACCCATGTTTCATCACTGCTCTCATCTTATCTGTAGCATTTAATTATTAAGTGATGGCAACAGAATCCACTGCACGTCGGCGTTTGGAGTTAAGCTGCTTAACCGAAATGAGCGCACAAGTACGGGATCACACTTATAAGAAGAAATGCATCGCCGACTACGTGTGCACTCATCATACAACTTCATGCTGTGCTCGTACTCACGAACTAATTGGACGATAGTTTCACTTTTGCTAACTTCTTTCGTTGATGATCTTTTAGCCTCGGTTAGCAACCATTATTGTTCAAGCTCATCCGAGAGGCTGACATGTTCAGCACCCTGATTCGGTAAGACTAATGACGTGTCCATAAGATGATGCAATGTATCACAGATCAATCGGACCGCAACTCAAGAATTGGAATACCCGGTCCCCTTTATCCGCAGGGCTGCACACAAGTTCTGTGCATTTGTAAGTTATCAACTTTTGCCCGTGTAATACTGTAAACAGCGCGGAACCACCAAAGAAAAAGAAACGAATAGATCCTGTAATTGAGCAAAATCGCTTACGCAGGAAAGTTCGAAGAATTGAGAAGGAGATCAAACGTTTCACTCGACAAGAACGCCAGCTGAAACCAGTGGAAGAGATTGAAGGCGATCGTCAGTTGTACAAGCAGTTGGAGTGAGTTCTGTTTTTGTCATTAACCCGCATTTGGCTCAGGAGCAAGGACACCAAGATGCCAGTTTACCTACTTTTAACCATATGGACAGCTCACCTGACGTACTCACACCATTGTTCCGTCTCTTTGCATGCTGCAACAATCGGGTTGTCTGCGGTATTTTTCCTTTTTTCCCTTTCGCAACTTACTGTGTCTACTCACATAAACACAGAATCAATTAATTGTGTTTGCCATTAGCTGCTGACCCACATCTATCTGTTTGTGTTGAAAATCCGATCTTCGTTAGACTCGCGCGGAGACGCGCTAGCTGAATTGGTTTTCCAACTTAGTTCTATTCACACAGGATTTGCGTTTACGGCCAGCCAGACAAACCGCGCATCTCTATAACTTACCTTAGTTTGCTTGCAGGCAGTCGTGCTTGTGATTCTATCTGAGATAAATCTACTTGGAATACTGAACACGTCGCGAACGACTGAGGGGCTTATTATTCTCTGTGTTGTCGGTTCTGAACCAGATCGAACGTTCGGCGCTCTGGGGCAAATACCTATCCGAAAGAATGACAAGAATCATTTACAGATCACTCTTAATGCCACTTTTGGACTAGGGTTTATGTTCTCGAGAAATCAACTTGATGGGAATTTATGGTGCGTACTTGCCTGGATTGGTTCCCCATTTCTGTGCTAATTTGTCCAACAATTAATGTGTTGTAGCTTTCGCTTACGCCATTCAGTCAATGTAATTGCTAATCGCTGATAATTTATTTGTTGCAGCCAACGCAAAAGGCCATCGGTTGACGTAAGCGAGGATGAGATCGATCGCCGCGCCTCCTTACTTAAGGAGTGGGCCAGGTTTCAATCCCAACGCAACCGTTCCGAACGAGAACAATTCAAGCGAGCCCTAGATGCACAACGCAGAGCGCTTGACTGGTTATATCTAACCTCACCTGAGTTGTACAAGGCTGCTATCCAACCTTGTTTGACGGTTACAGAGCAGCCGGATGCGATACTGGGTCCGCGGACGCTCCCAATCGAGGGTCTCAAGGGACCTTACTATTCGGCACCCAGGGTGCATGGCGACTGTGCCGACTGTTCTGCGGAATACGACCCACCGGACGGTGAGATCGTAGACTCCACGATCGCATTCAACTATGAGTTCGACCTGGATCGACAGTTTTTGGCAGACCCAACGAAGAAGGGTAAAGACACATGGAGAAGTAACAAGGATCCCAGCAACAAACGAACAACAGCAGTCACTTCGGATTAAGACTGGAGTGTAATTTTATTAAGAAAATAAAATCAGTTCCAGAATAGTTTTTCAAGTGAGGAGATATGTTCAGGGGCATGAAGGGATCAACGCGCCGACCTGAAGAGGAGAGAAAAGATGTTGACTCTAGATCATCTTGTGTGGTTGGGAAACTGTCGTGCAAATGACGCGAGCCTAACCAGGTCAAAAAATAAATCAAATAAATCAAACAAATCAACAGGACAATAAATCAACAGTGGTCAGTTAATTATAGACTTTTCGATAAGATAATATACTGGTGAAAATAGTGATAGTGTGTGAGTGCCCAGTTCGAATAGGTTCGTTGAAACCTGCTTGAGCGGTGGCCGCTTTGACCAAGTAACTTGTTTTGATATCCACCCCCTGTTGCTATACGAGCTTCCGACACGTAGAGGACAGGGTTGGTCTTCCGGGCACGATTTCTCTTTCTGTGCACTCATCGTGTAACGGCACCATAGGTTGACCTGGACAATTACCGACTGTTAGAGAGTGGTGGTCTTGGCCACGTACTCACAAAAGTTGGGACGCGGGTACTACCCCCATAAGGGATACACGGAAGATGCACTGCTGACGATTCCAGTGTGGGCAAAACGACCATTAGTTCTCATCCGGACATACAGTGACTGTCTGACCGAAAGGGGATGCGAAGAATCCCCTGAGAACATCCTCACTGGCAAAGGAGAGAAATGAGTGTGGTAATCCTGTAACTGGCTTTTGGTCATTCAGCGGAATCCTACAGTCGGATTCAACGGAGTGATGTAAAGAAAGGCATAATTAGTACAAGTTACTGACTGACTGTCACACGGCCACTGCGAACTCGCCGTTGCCTATGCAGATCCGAGCTGGTAACCTTTGGATTGCAAGGCAGACGCCTTGCAACCGGTTGGAGTAATGTGTGTGATTTGAATGACATAGAAGGAGGCATGATTAAGAAATGAGTACATAAAACCAGTAAACTCACCAAAGGTTTAGAACATTTATTTCTCAGTCGATTTAACCATGCAGTAGTCGCTGAACGATAAGTATGCATCGCCCAGCTTCGTAAACCGTAAGCTGCAGACAAATCGGCCAAAGTCGGTTCCGGTGTATCGGCTAAATACCTGTTAGTTCGATTGACGACAGAGGCACGCTGTTCAACAAGGTCGCAAAATTTTTGTTTCTCGTCGAAATGGCCAAACATGTTTAAGCGGATCGTCCAAGCGAGCCATTGTTTAACTTGTGCCCGAGACGCTGGCTGGAACGCAAATGAAGAGAAAATGGTCCCGTTTGTTGCATGTGACACCGCATTTGCGCTCTGTCTAAACCTATTAATCCATAGAAGCCAAATAAATAGCTTATTGGATGTCGGTTCCGTACGATTACGTTAGAACAAAAGCACTACGAGTCAACTCTGTAGATTGGATACGACTGTTGTTCACTGATCTGATACCGCTAGGCTTATGCTAGATGGCTATGAGCAGTAGATACAAATCGTCTAAGGCACACCCACGTTTGATCATGTAATATTATCGATCATAGGTTTCATTCCGCTGTCGCAAACCTATTCTTCGCTGTCTTGTGAGTCAAATCATTCGGCCGAGGGTTAGGGATAGTGTCTCTGAAACACTCCTCTAAGAACGGACAGCAATGAAGAAATTGTCACACCCAAAGATTCCGTCGTTATCCTTTGCTTTCTGCTTTCCCTATACTGAGCATCTCTTCTTATCAGGTTAACTTGCAAGGCAATGGCATCTGAATTAGTGTGCTGAATGCAGTTCTCCTAAGGTCAGACCCAGACACTATAGAAGCGCTGCTGAGCGCTACGTGTTTTGCACATCCAACTGCATAGATGAACAGACACTCCACTAGTTCGCAACATCGGTGGAAAGTCGTCCGAAAGGGTCGATTGATTTATCTATCTAGTTGGCTAAATTACCCTTAGAAGTTACAGCTCTCGTGACCTTTAGAGCTCCCAACCATCTACTGAGATGGCGGGATACTTGTACGTCAGTCAGATGTTGCCTTTGGCCGCCGATGGTTGCGTAGCGTTGATATATCTAAGAGGATCATCGACGGAGCACTAAATGAATGTTTGTGAAGAAGTCATGTGATGCAAATGTTAGTCGGTTCGCCTGCTGGCCGCTTGTCTGGGCATTTTCTGGCACTGCATTTGATTGGATGAGGCTTCAGGATGATCGACTGGTAACGTGGCTAAAGTGCATGAGGAACTTGGTCAAAAATTTACTCAGGCGCATGTGCTGCCTTTTAGGGTTTTGGTATACACTTGGGGCTGTAGACCTCATCTAACGTAACGCCATCAAGGATCCGATGACCCTCTCTGCATTTGCTATTCTGCGCGCTTTGCTCACCTTTCCATAAATGATTACAACCTTTTGTATCTCTTTCACATTCGATTTTACTTGTAAACTTGCATTTGTTAATGGGTTCTCATAATGTTGACCCTTGTTTTAATGGTAACAAAGGTGTTCGCAACCCGATCCACCGCACGTCGATGCGCGAGCAATAGTCGAGGAAACGGATTGAACCAAAACTTACATTAGCAACAAGTTTGTGAAAAACTTTCATCACTTAGTTTGGCTTAAATAGTTTGTCCACTAAGTGATGACCCATGATTCTGATGACCTTCCGGATACCGATTCCTATTGAGTCACAGATGCTCTAGATTCTGCTATTCAATTTCGAATGATCAATAAGGCAGTTTGCATACAGTAAACGTACAGCATGCTGTCATCAATTGCATACGTGGGACTTACTGCAGTACCCCCGAGAAGAGTGCTATCAGCCACATGCTCGATCATTGCCTGCGAGTCTGTGATTCCCGAGCCGTCAGCGATGCCGTTTGTTTTTTCTGACAGCTCTAAAGTGGCTGCCAAAAGAGGATGGAATGCGCCAGATTCCCGAGGACATTGGGCCTCAGCACAGTTGGTCATGAGCCTGAGACTTTCCACCATTTCTTCAAGGCGTTGGATTTCCGCTTTTAACTCATATTGCTGTAGAAAGGACAAAGAAAATCGCAGGCCAGGAAAGAACCTTAAGGGATCAAAGGACATTTGAGTTGGATCATAAAACAAAACACGATATGGTTGAACCAACTACAGAACCACTGCACTGCTACCACAAGGGAAAGCGTCGTCCAGGGCTCGGTTGTTACGGACTATACCTCGAGATGGAGTATGACAGTCGTTTTGTGTTTCGGGCAGCAGTGTGGTTCGGCGCCGAGATTTAAATGCAGTCTTATCTGCAAGATTGCACTGAATGGACGCTTATCGGTAGGATATTGCTTCAGCCAGTGTTCGATCTACATCATTCCGTCTGGAGCGGTCACGTTCCCCGCCATCTCCAACCTAAGCCTCAAACAAAACAAATCAATGACTCGGTGCAAGTGGCTTGGAAATAAATTCATGTTCATAAATTAACCCTAGCATCTGGAACATCTAAACTGTCAGGAACTAAAATGTAGTACCGATTTGACCAACGAGGAGGTCGGTGCATGTTTCACGTGACAGATTGGAATCCGTGTGAGACGACTGGATACTTCTGCTGAGTATTATTGTATCAAACCGTGTTCGCCTCGGAGGGCAGAGCGCATTAAGCGTGATTATATAGAAAAATGCACCAGAGTCTAGATCATACAGGAGAGGAATTTGATAGTTAGAACCATACAGAAGAAAGCATTTGCAAATTCTGTTTCGCAACGTTTCCTCCATCATCGAACCCACAGTTTTGTCGGACGCATATCCAAAACAAATTCGCAACGCCATAGTGTATTAGAGTCATAACTGTCATCAACAGCAGTACATCAATCAGTTAACTGATATTTCGCTATCACACAACCACAATGACCTAAGAAATGAACAATAGGCGGGAAAGAAGGGGGACCTAACGTAAAACTTAAATGCCATAAGCAAACATTCATGGTCAAGGCGCCTACACCTTGCCGACAGCATGCCGTCACAAACAACTGGCTATTGTGCATCGGCAAGAGAGCTTGTGGCTTTCACTGCCCTGCATCACACTCAGCCATTACTCCGACTAGGGGACGACAGCAGACCCGCCACTGGTGCCGACTGCGAGTCCTGGCCTGTAAAGTCTCGAGCCATGTGCAAGGCAGGTTATGTGGACACCAGACTGGAAGGCGAAGCGGACCAAGGACACCCAAGTTAGTCGTTAGTAATTTGTTAATACTAAATCATCTTTTGTCCACCTCGAGCCCTGCGGCATACAACAGTTAGCAAACATCCTCGGTGTTGCTCCAAGGAACTAGCCTGTTTATCACTGCCTGGCACTCGTTTACGCACACCATCGTTGTGGATAAGGTGGAGCAATCCGCAGGTAGTAGTGATCGAAAACTTGAAAGCGCCTCAGGTCAAGTCTCACTCCCGTAGAGTGGCCTTGTACGCACGGCTTCTCAGACCAGAAAAAAACCACTTCTGACACCAAAGATGTCGAAAATTCAAGAAGGCAGTTGCAGCTTCTGAAGTATGTTAAATAACTTCAGCGATTATGCGCTAATCGTCGCTGATGTAGCTGCTAAGTGAATTGATCATAATCATTATTAAACGTGAGCTGAAGGTAAGAAACACACTTCAGTTAATATGCCGCAATACAAATGATGGGAGTACTATAGTGAGCTTGTTCAGGGTTGATTGGGCCACTCAAACAGCAAGACAATACCATCCGCTTAATCTAAGACAATAAGTTTTCTGCTAGACACTAACTCAATACCTGCTTCGTGAGATTCCATGACGAAGTCCACGACAAAGTTGGACAAAAATATGGAAACGGTGCAATTCTGACGAACGCCACTTGTTGTCGAATACATCCGACAAGTCACCGTAGACCCTGCATGTAAAATGTTCACACATTTCATGGGGGCAACTTTTCCATCGATAGTCGAATGCACACTTGAAGTTTGCGGTACGTGTGGCGCTGCTCCAGCACCTGCCGCAGAGTAAATATGTGGTATATACAGCCCTGTCCTGGTCAGAAACCTGCCTGCTCTTCTCTAATCCGGGATTCTCGTTCCAGTGAGGCGACGAACGAGAATTGAAGCCAATACTTTTATTAGTACCGGCATTAGGCTAACACTCCTGTGGTTAGCGCAGTCCGCGCAACTGCCCATCTTGTGTATTGCCACCACGATCGATTCACTCCAGACTTGTTCGAACAGGAAGTGAGGTACATTTAAGAGGACTTCACCGCAATCCTTAAATAGTGCAGGCGTAAAGCAATCCGGACCAGCAGCTCGAAGGCAATTAAAAGCTGCGACCGCGTTTCGGACCTCACTCTCCGATAGAGCCTACAAACTAACTGGCCGTGACTCGGCCTGCATCACCTGAACAGGAGGAGACCTAAGAGCATGTGCTCCGCTCAACGAGCCAGATGGCAACGGCCGTGCTGTCTCCGATTGTCTCACTGATGTATGTGTTCCTGGGATCACCGCCAGGCGTTTTTGTCAGTGCACAAGCTCCGCTCTAGCTCGCACCTGGTTACATTATGGTCAAAGCCATCAGGGAGTTGTACGTGGGCTGAGATACTGCCAGGATACCCATACCTAGATAGGACAACGATTAGGACCCACAACCAAAGCTTTTGGCTCAAAAGGCTGTCCGCAAGGCGGCGGAAAGGTGGTAACGACTCGGTTCTACAATAATGGACGCCACCTCATTTCCAAATCCTGGTCGGAAAGATCAGAGGAATGAGTTCATCTGATCTCTAAACCTTGACAAAATTTGTAGGAGTAGCTCTGAAGGGGCCCGGGGGCACCACTTAGTATATGGATGAGGTACGCAAACCGTCGTACCACGTTAAGGTCCAGTCTTTTCGCGACAGTCAGTGTTAAAATGTACAACATAATACACACAACAGCTTGACTCGTGACATCACGAAGTTTTAAAATAGTTTTGATCAATGTAGCTCACTGGGGCGAACCATCGAAACAGGCAGACACGCGACGTGTATGTGATTCCTTTGTTCTGTCACAACTCCTGTACGAACGTGAATGCGGTGCGTGAGCATTTGAGCTGTGAACGTCGAGTTATAGGTAGACAAACAGCTCAAGCATTCGACTTAAGTAAACCGTCCCCGGTTTTGCTGTCAGCCCCAGCGGAAACGAACAAGCTTATGTGGCTGTATGCCGCTTGTCGATAAATTTACGAATTTATTTATGTAAATAGAGGCAGGAGGGTGATACACTTCAGTCGCTTGAACGGTTGAGCAGTAGAACTCGTTTCCAAGCCAATGTATACAGTTTATTTTGACTTGACCGGAATACAATTGAGAAAGACGGATACTGATCAACACGGGCTCTTAAAATATGTAAGTCTCTCGTGTGGGCAACCGCTACTGCAAATACATGCTCAGATGACCGCGCAGTTTCCTGCTGGCGTATTAAAAAATAAGTTGTATATTTCTTGACAATACGAGGCATAGTCCAATTCAGTGGTCTGATCTGATAGGTACAACGGTATTGCATAAAACAGATGACTGTTCATTTTTCGATGTGGAGTATTCCCTCGAAAGATTCCACCCACGCTTCCACGTCCTTTCTGGACGTGTGTTGGTGTTGCTTAATAATATGTATGCCAGCACATCTTTGGGGCTGTTTATATGCAAAACGGTCAAGCCATATCCATGCCGTTCAATTAATCGGTACGATAATAGCACATTACTTTTTAAACGCCAGTAAGACAATGGCAATACGCCATGTATGGGCATAATTCTGTCGCAACGAGACTGCATCCTAACGTCGTGCGACGATTTGCTTCCCTCCTTGACCCACTGAGCTATATTGAGTGGTGCCCCCGGCTCCCTGGGAGCTACTCCTACCAGATTGGTCAATGGGTAGAAGTCAGACAAATTCAGCCTCTAGGCTTTGGTTGAGGACCCTAATCGTCCCCCTATCTATGTCTGGGCGCCCTGGCAGTATATCAGCTCACGTACAACCGTGATTACTTTTTCAAACTTCAACAACATCTTACATCGGTCATTGTGCAGGTTATCAAGGGTCGCCTTATCTGCTGCACACAGCAGGGCGGATAAGCGGGAACATGCTGCTGCTGGCGCCTCCTTCCTTTTCCACCTTACTCCCCTCCCAACCTCCATTACTAATTTTTATTCTACAGTTCCCAGCTTAATTGACAACAACCATTATGTCACTGGAGTTATACCATCTGTAGCAATCTTCCCGCACCAACTATCGGATTCCTACAGCTAACAGTCCCTCATAAAGCCACGCTGTTCCATTACCCTGGCAGCGTTCAATGTTCGCACTCTAAGACAAATAGGTCAACAGGCTGCACTTGCACGCACTTTGGACACACTGGGCAACGTGTGTTGCGTATTCGAAACTAGGATCAATGACTCATGGAGTTGTTGATCTAACTGCGCCCAACTTATTTTCTCGCTGTTGGTTACACGCATCCGGAGACGCTGATGCAGTACTCACCTGTCAAGCTGGGGTAGGTATCATTTTCAGCTCCAAAGCTGAGCCATGATTGAATTCCGGTTAACAGCCATTTGTGTGCAGCACGTTTATTGACGTCGAACAAGGGTGTTTCACGAAGTAGTACAAGAAACTGCCTGTCTGTGGTTTCCGCTTGTGCTCCCACCGACCGCAGTTCTAATGCTGTCAAGGACACATTCTATCACGAACTGAACGCGCTACTACGCAGTGCTACCAGTTCACATACCCTAGTACTTGTGGGGAATATGAATGCTCAAGTAGGGCGTCTGAGCTCTTCTGAAGCTCAGATAGGTGGTAATTATGGGGTACACTCCGAACGGACTGGCAACGGTGAGCGTCTGTTGCAACGATGTGTGGAGCACCAGTTATTCCTTAGTAGTACTGCTTTTAGACACAGTGGGCGACCAAGTGCCGCTTGGTGCCCTGTAGCTGGCCGGCGATGGACTCAAATTGACCACATTGACTTAAGTTATAGGTGGCGTGGTTCCATTCTGGACTGCCGCTCGTTCTGGAGTACCTGCGTCTACTTTGATCATGCCTTGGTACGCTATCGTTTCTCCATGAACTTTACCGGGAGGCATACCGAGCGTCTCCACCGATTGGCAACTGAGAAAGCTTCTCAGCCCTAGGTTAGGCAAGCCTATAAAGACGCATTGCGTGCCGAACTTTCGCTCTCTTGTCCTAATGACACTGAGCTTCAGTGGAATAGGATTTCGGCCGCCATGTACGACGCAGGAGCATCTGCTTGTGGCACTATCAATCGTTACCGCACCGGTCACTGGATATCCGAGAGGTCGGTGAACAAGTTGGATTCCAGAAGAAAACTCCCGGCTGGTTCTGAGCACAATGTGACCAGACGGGCTATTGGACGGGAACTAAAGCGGAGTCTACGTGCTGGCAAAGAAGCCTGGTGGACCAGTCGGGCTCAGGAAATGGAAAGGCAGGAACAGTAGCCAATTATCGCAAGCTCTCCCAACTGGTCACAGGAAACCAGGCGTCAGTGAGACAATCCGAGACAGCGCGGGTGCACTTATACACAAGAAGGAGCACCGTATGGCTCGTTGGGCGGAACGTTTTCAAGATAAGTTCAGTTAGTTCTCTGCTTCCGGGCCTCTTCCTACTCAGGTGATGCAGAACGAGCCATGGACGCTTAGTTTAGAGCCTCCATCGGAAGCCGAGGTCCGAAATTCGATCACAGCCCTCAATCGTTTTCGTGCTGCTGGCCGGGATTCCCTCCCACTTGCACTATTTAAGTTTGGAGGTGAGGTCATCTGCAAAGTACTGACCCTGTTCGAACCTACCTGGAATGAAGAGCGCGTCTCGACTGACTGAAGTGAATCAATTAGTGGCAATACACAAGAAGGGCAGTCGCACCGACTGTACTAACGACAGGAGCATTAGCCTAACGCCAGCTGTGACAAAGTTACTGGCCTCGATTCTCGTTCGTCGCCTCGGTGCAGAACGTGAATCTCGAAATACGGAAGAGCAGGCAGGTTTCCGCCCAGAACGGGGCCGTACAGACCATATATTCGCGCTGCGGCAGATGCTAGATCAGCGCCATATGCACTGTAGACCCTTGATAACAAGGAACTCGAGGTAATTGATCGATTCACTTACCATGACAGCAGTATCAACAAAGATGGGCACATAACAACTGAAGTCAGTTCGCGCACTGCAAAAGCCAGAACTGCCTTTTTGAATCCGCGGCACTTTTGGCGACAGAAAGAAATTTCTCGTCTGAAAGGTTGCGTTTACAAGGCCATAGTGGGGGCCGTCCTGTTCTATCGAAGTGAGACTTGGCCTCTTCGATCTGAAGTTCCTTCAAGTCTTTGGTCATCGCTATCTACGGAGCATTGCTAGGTGTCGGGTGGCACCAGCATGTCCGCAATGATCATGTGCGTAGACAGGCGCTAGACAGTGGTAATCAGCCTAGTTTCTTAGAACAACAGATAGCACTGAATAAGTTGCGCTGGCTTGGGCACGTGCGGTTACCACTTACCTAGGGGGGCCTTGTTCAGTCTACCAGGTGTATGGTGGCGCAAAGCTCGAGGTAGACAAATGTTGACTTGACAGTAGGAAATGAACTCAATGACGACCAAACTGGGTGCCGTCGATCCGTCTCACCTTCCAGGCTGGAGTCCACGTGACTCGCCATGTGCTCGGCTCGACTTTACAAAACATGGATCGCAGTCCGCACCAGTGGCGCGTCTGCTGCCGTCTCCTAATCGGATTACCTGTTTCATGTATGTTGGTGCTGAGTTATCTGCGGGGTAATAGCTGGTTATGACGCGGGGCAGTATATATATATATATATATATATATATATATATATATATATATATATATATATATATATATATATATATAATACACAATCTGTGGTACAGATATTGTGCCATCGGAATCATGGCTGAATAGGAAAACAATATGAATAATAAGAAAAGAGCAACAAGAAATGCTTCTTTTTGTCAAGTTTACCACTCACAGATTTTGAAATTTTTTTCAGTTTGTTCTTTTTTTAGGGGGAGGAAGAAGGGACACCGCAACACACTGATGCACACGTCCGCCATTGACATCGATCTTGAGCCATAACTTCCAAAGTTTTCAACCAGCAAGTATCCTCATCTCTCGGACCCCAACCAGGTAGTCGACAACAACCGGCCGAGGCCAATTGTTTCGTCAACTTTTTCATGCGGCTTCTCCATGTTGTAGGCTGTCCACCAGACCGTCTCTTCCAGCCCTGTCCAGCAACTGAAAACAACGCACGACGGGGGTAACGCTGGACAGGCATGCGCAATACGTGTCCCAACCACCGCAGCTGATGCAGTGAGATGAGCTCCTCGAGCGAGTGGCTTCCACGTCCCAAGACACGCTGTCTAACTTCCACATTGCTTACGTGGTGCTGCCACCACACACGGGCAATGGACCGCAGACAGCGGTGCTCGAAGACGGATAGCCTGCGCAAGTCATCTTTACGAATGGGCCAGGTCTCGCATCCGTACAACAGTACAGCACGAACAGTTGCACAATAGACCCGCCCTTTGATGGAGAGACGAATGTCGTGGCGACGCCACAAATGCCTCAGCCTAGAAGAAGCGAGGCGTGCTCTCGAGATGCGCATCGAAATCTCGTCTCCAATAGCCCCGCCAGCAGTGATGCAACTTCCCAAGTAGACAAAGCTCTCCACAACCTCCAGTGTCTCACCAGCAAGCGTGAGTGCAGGCAGAGGCACCTGCCAGTCTTGAAGGAGAGCCTTGCATTTGGATGGCGAAAAGTACATACCGTACTTTGATGCTTCAATCGTCAAGCGGTTTAATGCAAGTTGGACGACCTGTGGATCGTCACCCAGCAAGACGATATCATCAGCATAATCCAAATCAACAACTCGACTACCTGGGAGGAGCTCAACGCCAGCGTTCAACGAATCGCTCAGAGCGTTCTTCAGGACATCCTCAATGGCAAAGTTGAATAGGAACGGAGAGATAGGGCATCCTTGTCGAACTCCACTGGAGACCACAAAGGTAGGCGAAAGCATGCCATAAGCCCTAACCCTGCCCGAGGTCAGACTGTATAGAGCGCGCAGTATGGAGACGAACTTCTCGGGGACACCGTTCCTCAGAAGGCACTGCCATAGTACGGTACGATCGACAGAATCAAAGGCTGCACGGATATCCAGGAACACAGCAATCGTTGGCCTCTGATACACATGGCGGAGCTCGAGGATTTGGCGAAGTGTGAAGATTTGATCGATGCAGCCGCGACCAGGGCGAAACCCAGCTTGTTCTTCTCGTTGCAACGATTCGCGTGTTGGGGATAGCCTGCGAAGTATGATGGACACCAGCAGCTTGCAAACGACGGGGACTAAGCTTATTCCTCTGTAGTTGGAGCAGATTGTGCGCAGGCCCTTTTTGAAGATGGGTACGACTATCGATTCACCCCAAGATGATGGAACCTTCTCTTTCGACCAAATTTTCGAGAACAAAGCGGTGAGTTCTCGGACCAGCGATGCGCCACCATCTTTGAATAGAGCTGGGTGAAGACCATCAGGGCCGGGAGCTTTATAACGCTTCATGTGCCGGAGCTCCTGCTCGATTTCCTGGGAAGAGGGAGGGTCTGTTGGGGTAGACCACTCGGCCCCAGCGCGAGCGCCAGAGGTAGCAGATGGAGCTGGGGGCCAACAAAACTGCGAGCAAAAATGTTCGGCCCATCGCTCCAACCGTCGTTGAAGGTTGGTGATTAAGGTGCCATCCGCTTCGCATATTGTTTCACTTATACCAGATTGAGCACCTTCGGTGACTCGAAGGAGATGGCAGTGAAGGCCGCAAGGAAGCTATCTCGCTGATGCCGCGTTATCTTTGCACCATACCCAGCTGTTTGTCATGGCACCTTGTTGACAAGATGTAGGCGCCTCGACCATGAATGTCTCTTTAGGGCATTAAGGTTTTCAGGTAAGTCCCCCTTCTCTCTTATTATTCTTCGTCCCGCAGGTCCTTATTGTTTTATGGCAGCGAAACTCCAGTTCAAATGGCTGATGTATTGCTGTCGATGATGATGGGCAAAATTATAAGCCTGGAAACTTCATTTCATTAGACCAGCTTAGTCATGGTCAACAATGGAATAAGGAAGAATATAAATATAAGGAATTAAAACAACAAATAATTCCGTTCTTGACACACATGTATGCGTGTGTTCCAAAATGGCTACATTAAGCTAATACTGGTTGTGCAGCCATATTGTCACATCCAGCTATGCTTCTAGGAGTGAGTACGGCCAAAGAACATAAATCGCTGCGAAAATTTTTGGCCAAATCGTAATTCTTGACAGATTACCTTATCATGGGGTTCGCGCAAATAAACAAGACATCCGCCTTTAGGCCAAGCGTGGTCTGAAGATCACAAATTACAATGGGGTAGCACCTACATTATGAAACTATTACCTGACGGTAGTTGCATGCAGCTAATATTGGTTTCCCGAAGAGAGAAGCAGATTGGTTGAAACTTGTGTATTGCATCTAGACCCAGGCATCTGGACGGCAGTGCAAAGCTAGAACTGCCTAAGTAATTTGTCATGCAGCATAACTTGAAACGAAATTACTCACTTTTTGTTGATCTATTCGTCTTTTCGTCAGAGGCACTTTAGCTGCATATTCCGGACGGGAAACGTCCTCCACCAGAGAGCGTAAGGACTCTGAGACCTTGGCCAAACGATCACGAGATCGTTTTTCTTCCAACGTGACATCAATGTGGCCAGCCAGATAGAGATAGAGCTGACATGTAATCGATAAATCAAGGGCTGCAGGAGGATACGTTTCATTTTCCTGCAGTTCATCAATCGCTGACTCGTCCGATTCTTCGTTGTTCGGTCCATCGTAGCTCGCGACTAGCTGGGATGCATCAGAATTGAGAGCGAGATCACGAGCAGCAACAGTCGCGCTCACGCATCCAGAAACGTCAACTTTTGAAAGGAGAGTAAGATAAATGAAGCGCATTAGCATTTCACAATTTTCATCGGTTGTTCCACAGCAACCGGACTACGTAGGTTGCTCGTCTGGTGGTCGGTCGCTGATCCGACCAATACCGCCGTGGTTAATAGTCCCATATTTTGGAAAACATATAGACTGGGCATTTGATAGGGTCATCCACTGAGTCTAATGAGGATACCATGGAGGAATAACGATGTCACAGTAGTGACGCACTATCTACGTAAGCTTCGTGCGCTTCAATTTTTGTGGCGTATGGATGTGTGTGACCAGTTTACTGTGTACACTATGTGAGCTCGGATAAAGTTCTTAGCCCGTACTTCCAAGAGCCCTCTAATCTCCTTGATAAGCAAATCCACATCTACTGTGGTTGACAAGAAACAGTCATGGTTATTCCGTAGGATTGGTTATGTAACATGCTGTTTTTAACATGGAAACCCACAACCGCCATGTTGTTTGCCACTAGCGAACCATAAGTACGACGCCTGCTACCAATTATAGTTGTATAGCATACCACTGTGGATTAAAGGGAAGCAAAAAGGTTCTTAGCATAATAAAGCTTGAACGTACTTTCGCTTCTCTCAGAAGTTGCCTTAGTAATGTGACATTTTCCTAGGGGTTCCACAACATCGCTCAAGTAGTTTCCGGTGATTAAACTGGACAGTACGGAGGCGGGAGCTAAGATTTGGGCATCGAGAAAACCGGAAACCGCACCGGTTTTATCGAAGCAGGTCCGCGGGATGACGTGGTAAGCCGCTCTTAATGCGCGCATTTGATGCACGAGGCTCCGGACGAGGCAAAAGTCAGCTTCCACAGTTTCATCACGAAGAGCATTGACCTAAAAAGGAAGATATCGTGTATTCGAGGTGAAAAGGAAAGTGTCAGCAGTGCGCCGGAATCAGTGCCGACACTTCGCAGATAATTAAAGATAGCGATTATGTGGGACCATGGACATTGCGGTGCCGCTCACATTTGCGCAGTCTTGAATCGGCGATTATTGGATTATACATCAAGCACTTGAACTACTCGGTCGCTGGTCAGACCAAAGGGAGGTATGGCTTCCAACTCGTGCACTTTTGAACGTAAAGGCCTACACAGACGGATGATGAACTGTAATACCGAGGAGGTTTGGTAACCTCGGATAAGCAGCGGGCAAATGTAGAGAGAACATTGTAATTTGCAATGCATTCGTGCATTGTTTATGGGTTATTTACGGCCTACCTGTTTCTTAGCTGTGATGCCCATCACCTTGAGTGGGGGGGGGCATAGAATCGACCGTGCACTGTGAGAAATGCCACTTGAGTGTGATACACCTGAGTTATCGGTAAAACGAAGCACTCAACTTCGTCCTATGGATACATTCGTATTTCCATCATGTACAGAGCTCCTCCAGATGTAAATCATCATTATCTCTCGCACTTGTTATTCAGGTACGCTTGGTATTTCTTACCGTAAGGTATAACGGCTGAATTAAACTGCACGCGCGGAAACCTTTTCTCTACAAATCGTGGATCCAGAACACACGTTGACGGTACGGTCCACAACGCTTCATTTGGTACCGGACAAAACTCGCCGAAACAATCAAAGTAGATTAGTATATGACCTAAAAGAGGCTGTGGTAACAACTAAGCTGGTTTCGGGTGCACCTAGCAATACAAATCGGTAATAGAAAATTCGCGTGTCCAACACAAACTCACGTCAAGTGGTTTCGGATAGGATGCGACACACAAACTCGTGGATGTGTCGGGGGGTCCGGACACCGCCGACGCTTGGGGCAAACGTTGATATAGCTCTTCTGTGATAAACGGCATGAATGGATGCAGCAACCGCAGTCCGAAATTGAGGCAAATATACAATACTTGTCGAACTAAATCAATCCTTTCGGCAGACGTGGGGCTCAACACGGTGTGCTTAACGATGGGCTTTGTGTATTCCTGTTAACGTGTGAAACGGGAGAAATCGATACGATGTATTCGGTCATAACAAACAACAGAAGACTGCTCAATAACAACAATAATGTACTGAAAGGGAGAAGGCGCGTTGTACCTTGCAGGTAGTAATAACGATGGAAAAAGGCGCATCAGATTGTCGCGCCAGTCCGGGGTCGCTTTACACGCGCTACAATAACAGTGAAAAATACAAACGATCATACTCCTTATAACATGGGATTCTTTCCTTAAACCCGAGACTGAAAATGAACGACTACCAATTTTGGTCATCCTAACAGATCAGTTAGGTAAGGACGGTGATCCAGATACAAAAGCGGAGTTATAGAGCTACTTGAAGAAAGAAGTCCGAGGCGGAGATACAGCATGTTACGATGGCGCATCAGGACACATGCTGTTGCAATCATGTGGAGCAATATACAATGCTGATAGATTGAACCGGTTTGAGAGGAATTGTGCCACGTTCACGAGAGTAATGAGTGTGAGACAGCGAACTGAGTGGTGATATAACGACCATGGCTTGGGCTGCCAGTTACCGGATTTATCTGTTACGATCACCGGGATCTATGTTGGTGACGGTGGTTAGTTTACAACGGTCTAACTACAGCAAACATGAGTGCGCGTAATGAAAGTAGGGGATTATTGATATTTCTCGCAGCGTTTTCACTGTACGCTCATTCGAACCGGATTTACTAGCTCTACACAGTGATCCATCATACGTGGAAATATCTTCTACGATTAGAGGCTGTGCCATCACTAACCGTTTTCACTGGCATCTGAGCCGATTGCCTTTCTGTGTGACACCATTCGATACAGAACTCTCGAGGCAGGCCGAAAAGCTTACGCTTACTCCGATCCAGTGTTTCTCAACACAGCTGTGAAAGAATCTGTGTTCAGCGCTCTGTTCAGGTTGCAGTCACTCGCCATTCATTGTGACCTTGTCAGCCAGTGCGGCTGCATAACCCATCACACGGACCGCGCGACCACGCCGACCGCTCATTTGACCTTGCAACCACAGTACATCGCCGCTCTCAAAGCTGTAAAAGTACAGAACGCTAACCAACCCACTGGGTCAGGTAACGACACCAAATTGAATGGCAGAAAGGCGAAACCGAAGAGACTCCAAGCGAAAGGCATTTGCGGGTTAGGAGAATGTCATCGAGTAGTAAAAGTCGGTCTGGCTTGTTCGCACTGTTTGGAATGGTACCATACGAAATGTGCAAATGTTTCCCAACAACAGTTACGGGAGCGAAATAGCTCCCAAGATGCATTTTGGTTCTGTACTGCGTGTTCCACCATCCCCCTCGTTAAGTGCTTGCTTATCCTAGCTGAGAAATGCGACCGGTTAATCGCAGAAGCAGAGCAGAGGATAAACAATAAGATTACTTCAATGGAAGCGAGTATGGACCACAGAAGCGTAGCGGCTGCTAAGCAACGGAATGCTGAACAATCCGCTTCCCCTGAACCGCAATCAGCCACCTCTCCATCTCCGTTGTCTTCTCCAACTTTGGTAGAATGCCGGGCGAAAACAGACTGTACCTACGAGAATCAAACAGTACTCACAGCAACGAAAATCAGGCACCATTCAAAACGTCTGGTTAAGCAAATCCCACTAGACCTGACATCTAGCATTAACAAGGATGAAGCAGCCAAACACCAACCCTTGGTACCTGTAGCTCAAATATCTCTTGTCGAGACTAAGCCTCCCAGAACATCGGTTACATATGCAGAGATTGCTGCAAGGGTCCACCGAGAGGCCGCCGTTGCGTCCTCTTCCATTGTAAACACCGTTAACGCAAATGGAGAGAAAAAGAGCAAACAATCACTTGTCAACAAGTCAGGACAAATGAGTACCATACCTTGTAGATCGATGAAAAAGGGATCCAACAACAGTGCCCGGACTGTTGTATGCTCAAATGTCCCTGAATCTACCGCCATCACATTGCGGGATAAATTATCTGACGACCAAGACCAATGGAACTCATTGTGTATGCAGATGAGTATCAAAGCCAAGCCCATAAACTTGTTACGAATTACTCGTCATCCGAACTCGCCACACTATGGTGAACCCAGACTTATTCGAGTAACTCTAGAATCCTCCACCGACGTAGAAAACGTTTTGCTCTCCGCAAGCGCGCTAAAACACGAATCCTGTGGGATACGTATCTATCCTGATGTCCCTTGGAGCGCGCGACAACCAAAACGAAACACCGAAGAGGGGCACAGCAAGCAAGACCGCCTAAACGCTATCTTCATACATGGCGTGCCAGAACATCCTTCTAACGATGTTCAAGAGGCCGGAAAGCACGATTTAGAACAGTGGCGGTTCATTCGCGAAACACTTTCTTTGGATAATGTTGTGGCACTATCGCTCACCAGGATACCTCTCTCACCAAATTATAGAGGATGCGGCCCTAGAATCCTAAAACTTGTGGTTCAGTCAGAGCAACAAGCAAAGGATGTTTTGGATCGATGGCGGAGAAATCGGAAACATCTTCCTTCCGAAATTCGGTTAAAGGTCGCAAACACTTTGCACAGCTCAAATATTAGAGCAACTGAAGCAGCAAGCATACTGACGAATGTACAAAAGCATAACTTGACTGCTGCTTTAATTGACTCTGACGTAGGTCTAAACGAAGGTTGGGACGCACCTTGGCCGAATCAAGTTGCAAACGAGGTATCATTGACCCATCAAAAAAACGAGTAACTGCCGACCTCCCATCGGTCGGCATTCTCCCACACTTGACAGCTTCACCTCTCTGCGGGCTCCTAGAGACCGAGAAACTGGCCTGCTTGTATACAAATGCTCAGGGTCTTTCTAACAAACTGGCTGAACTGAAAGATCGCCAAGCTTCCGGCTCGTATGATGTCATTGGTATCACCGAGACATGGTTGCACACGGGAATGACGGACGCTGAAGTTTCGCTACCCGGCATGTCGCTGATCCGGAACGACAGGCTCACAAAAGGAGGAGGGGTAATCCTGTATTACCGAAACGACTTACAGTGCGAAGCCGTGGAGGATTCAGACTCGCAGTTCCCGACTCTCTTTGGTGCCGATTGCAGTTAAAAGGCAGGGACGCTTGCCTTATTGTCTTGGTGTACCGCGCCCCTAACTCAACACCCGAAACCGACTACCACCTAGCGGCTGCTTTAAGGTGCAGTTTACAACAAAAGTACACTCACATTCTTATCATGGGTGATTTCAACGTACATTGTTTAGAAGCCCCTGCCACGATCGGAGAACAATTCAAAACCGATTTACAAGATCTAGTAACTACTGTTCCTCTTTACAATCACATCACTTTGCCCACTCGGTTCAGAACTGGTAACAGGCCATCTGTGCTGGATCTTGTGCTTACCAACGAGGAGCATATGATTGATGCGTTGGTTTTAGACTGCCCGTTGGGTCGCAGTGATCACGCAGTCATCAGTTTCAACTTCGTCTGCTATGCAGAATATCTGAATGATAACGATGAGACTGTGCGAACCATCACAAGGTACGACCGACTCGCCCAGCTAGTCAGCGCCACAACATGGTCTTTCCTCGAAGAAGAACCCCCGGAAGTCGCCTGGCTCGAGTTCGTCAACACATTCAGTCAGCTGATTGCACAGGCTTCAGAGATAAAAGCTTGCAATAAGTGCAAATCAGTTTCTTTCGTTAGGAGCAGAACTCGAAAATGGATGACAGTACGCAACGCAGCATGGCGAGTGTACAGAGAAGCTCCAGCACCAGAAACTTGGGACAACTACGTAGCCCAACGCAACCACTGCACTCAACTGTTAAGAGAAGACAAAGCCGCCTATCAGCAGAACATCGCAAAAACCTTCAGTGCTAACCACAAACTGCTGTACAAGCACGTTAATAGCCTACGAAAGGTGAGGCAAGGATTTCCTCCACTCAAGACGGCTGATGGCTCAACAAGAACGACGGTGGAAGCAGCAAACGCGCTGCAGATACAATATGCCCCCACGTTTCAAAGAGTCTTGCAACCAAGCGATCTACCAAGCTTTGTCTTCTGCTCGCCAGGACTAACCCACATCAATTTTACCGCAGAGGCTGTATTGCAAAAGTTGACTTCTCTACGCAAACACAGCTCGCCGGGTGTCGACACCATTCGTCCAGAGGCATTGGGAGCAGCAGCAAACCAACTGGCAGGACCTTTAGCTCAGTTTTTCCAGCGCTGCTTAGACCAGAACCAAGTTCCGCCATGTGGAAGCTTGGAATAATAAGCCCCGATTCACAAAGGTGGAAGCAGAACTGATCCCTCCAACTACCGCCCAGTAACCCTTCTTCCTATACTCTCCAAGGTCATGGAATCCATAGTTGCCGATGCACTGGTGTGCTATCTGGAAAACTGCAACCTCATCACTCCTGAACAGCACGGTTTCCGTCGACAGCGGTCATGTACAACGAATTTACTAATTGCACGCAGTAGTTGGACCGAGGCAGCTGACGCTGGAGAAGGTGTTGATGTGATCTACCTGGATTTTTCCAAGGCTTTCGATCGTCTAGACCATCGGATACTACTATCCAAACTGCAGCATTACGGGATCGGAGACCCTCTTTTAAGCTGGATCGCCAACTTTCTACTTCAACGGCAATTAGTGGTCAGAGTTCGGAGCTCTTTATCGGACCCCATACAAGTTGAGTGTGGTGTGCCGCAAGGCTCAGTTCTAGGTCCACGTTTGTTTTTGGTGTTTATTAATGACCTTGCACAAGGAATCACTTCAAACTTCCTAATGTTTGCCGACGATATCAAGATCTGGCGCAGGATCCAGGCGAACGCCGACCATCATCTGCTTCAGAGTGACTTAGATACAGTGTATCAATGGTCGACCCAAAACTT